AAAAAAAAAAAAAAAAAGACTCTGCACTTCCAATGCAGGGGGCACTGGTTCGATCCCTGGCCAGGGAATTAAGATCCCAAGTGACTCTCAGGAATGACCAAAAATAAAAAATAAAATAAATACCACTTGGATCCCAATCCAGGCCAGGCTGTGTGACCCAGGGTAAATCTCTCAACCTTTCTGAGCCTCTGTTTCCTCATCTGCTCAGTGAGGGGTGGGGTCAGCACTAAGCTCCAGGCCCTTGTGGGAGCTGTTTCCACACAGGAGCCAGTGGGGGCTATGAGCCCTGTCTTAGTGGAAAAACTTCTTTGAGGAGCCCTCCAAATAAAGGTCCTGCTCCAGCTACCTGCCTACCCTGGTGCCCGCCAGACTTGATTAACAAGGCAGTTCCTCTCCAGGATATGACCAGGCCTGACTCAGCCAGGCGGGGCTGGGGTGACCCCGGCAGCTGCTCAAACAGAGGCTGAATTTGGTGGGGACTTTGGCCTCCTCTGGCTGGTGTGGGAGAACAGCCTGTGGGGTCTGATGGCAACAGCTTGCGGACCTAGGAGGAGGGACTGCACTGGTCCAGGTGGTGAGTTCAGAGTAGGAATGATCACAGGCAGGGTTTGGAGTCCAAAAAGACCTGGATTCCAACCCTGGCTTGGCCACAGCCAGGCTAAGTGACCTGGATGGGGTGGGGGTGGGGCTCTCTGGACCTCAGTTTCCTCACCTGTGAAATGGGGATGTTACCTTCAGAGCCGACCCTGTGGGCCCATGTTCGGTGCCCATGAGATGTTGTCAGGAGAGCACAGAACCCGGGAGATGCTGCCTTTGTCCTATTGTTTTTCCTGCTGCTTCCGGAGCTGCCGGGGGAGGAAGCTGGGAGCTGGCTCAGGGTGTCCAGGCCTGCCTTTGGGAGTTTAAGTCACAAAGACAAAGGCTGGGCCCAGAGAGGCCAGAGGGGCAGGCCACAGGCTTCCTGTTTTTCTTTGAACAGATGGCCAAGCCGCCAGACGCTTGTCTGTGTGGATGCTAATCCACGTCCCTGGTAATCACTTCTTATCCCTCCTGGTGACACTTCTGTCCAGTTTGCTCATTTCCAGTGCTCTTGTCACATTCCAACGTCTGGGAATTTTTCTCCAGGGGTCCCAGACACCCAAGGGGTCCACAAATAGAAGTCGGGGGGGGTCCATGAATTTGGAGGGGAAAAACTTGCATCACTCACGGCTGCCCCTGCTCCTAACGTTAACAGTCGTTAGAGCTGCTACCGGGCCTCGGTATTTAAGTGTGAGGAAAGATGTACAAATTCCATCACAATTAAAGCATATTTTGATAACTGTATCGCATGTAATGGGTTTGTAATGGGTTTCCTTTACCATCTGAGGTGTTTTATTTTAGGCACTTACAAACTTCCACTGATAAGGGCCCACGGCACAAAAAGGTCCCCCTACAACATGCCTTTCCCTGCCTAAAGTCTGCTGTGGCTCCCCATTGCTGCAGGAAGGAGCTAAGCTCCTCCCTGTGGCCTACAGACTCCCTCATCTGCCCCATAAGACTGCTCCCCCTTCCTTTTCCCACCTCATTCATTCACTCCAGCAGCATTTATTGAGCGCCTGCTGTATGCCAGGCATGGGAAGGAGGTAATGTCAATGCTGAGACCTGAAGTTCAGGCTGAGTGGGGGGGTACATTCACCAGATGAGCTAACTAGGCTCAGAAAGACTCTGGCGAGCCAGATGAGAAGTGGTGGACTTAGAACTTGAACCCAGAGCCACCTCTTGCATGAAAGCCCTGCCCTCCATCCTGTGGCATTTCCTCCTTAGCACAACTTTTTGGAGCAGGCGGCAATGACTTCCACAAAACTCTATCTTCTAGATGGAACAAGTTTTCTAAGGCCCGCAGCTTCCTGTATCTTTACCACTGCACCTTTCAGTGGTTACATGCTCCGATGCTCGGGTTCAAATCCTGCACCTTGGCTATGATGCCAGCCTTAAAAGACTCGTTTCACGCTTATTAGAATGGCTAAACTAAAAATAC